CAATTTAGTTGCTTTGGGGCCTTGGTTACGCATCCCTCCTCTTTCGGTCCTTTCGTGTGCATTCTTGTTAGGAAGAGTGCTGCCCTGCGCTGGACCTGCTTGAGCTATAGTTTCTGATATCCTCTATACGGATCCCATACAGCACAACCATGCATATTCCAACGTTGGTCCCCGTTGGTCTCACTAGCGATTTGTAGGCTTGGTCTTTAACCAGTTCTGTGAGCAGGGATGCAAGTTCCTCTTGACAAAGCTAAGTGTCGAATTGGCTGTGTTTGTAATGTTCAGGATATGTGGCTTTCAGTTTAGGTCCCCTGATAGAGAAACTGCGAGGTAAGGATTCTTGGTTCTGCAAACGCGAAGAAAGAAACACTTCGATGGGTTGAAGGCCATTTGCCACATCTTTGCCCATTCAACTAATTTGTCCAGATCGGATTGAGGATTGACTGCTTCGTCGGAATTGTGTACCAGACCATACAACAGGTTGTCGCCAGCAAATAACTTAATATTTGAGGTAATATCATTACCTATATCGTTAACGAATAACAAGAAGCACAAGGGACCTAACACGGTTCCTTGCGGGACTCCGGATCTTACGCAAGTCTTCTCACTGGACTCGCCTTCAAGGACCACCTGTTGAGTTCTTCCTATTAGCCATGCCTTTATCCAGGCTAATATTAAACCACCAATGCCATAGTACTCTAATTTAAGTAACAGAGTCGTTTGTGTGCTACTTTATCGCAGGCTTTAGAAGAGTCTAAGATCAAAAGATCAGTCTGGTTTCTATCATTTACTGACCGGGCTAGATGCTCTACGGTATTGATAAGTTGCGTTTCGCATGAGCGCCCAGGACGGAAACTATGTTGAGCATCCAACAGGATGACAAAAGAGTTTTTAACGTATAATAATACTGCGATAAATAATGTGTTCTAACAGCTTTTATCAGTAAGAGTTGAGCGCCTTATTTCATACTGTTAAGTTTTTGGTGAACCACCACGGGTTCTAATTTTTGCGATTTTTTCAGCGATCCGCAAAAATAAGTTCCCGCAAATAAAAATTACCGCAAACATTTTTTTCCGTAAAAATGTACTCCCGAGTAAATATTCTCTAACTTAAATTCGCTAGACTAAAATGCAGAAGTAAAAAATTGTGTCTGTTCAATTACAACTTGCCTCAAAACGGTATTCAATAAATTAGTGGTTTTACATCATGATAGGGTCCGCATACGGTAGTACTGTTTGAAACTATGTATTTCTATTGCACGTACTTAACAAAAACGAAAATTTCATCAATGCAGGGTACTGGGTACTTTCTGAAAATCGCAAAAATTAGTTCCCATCGAGAAAAACCAATCTGTCCTAACAGCAAAAATTAGTTCCCGCAAAACACAAAAAATGGCCAATCCGCAAAAATTTCGTGCCACACGGTACTTCTGTTACTCCAGCCGTCCATAAATGTTTACAACAACTATGTTGCTCTAACCGGCTTATGTTTTAGTATGTGTAATCAAATGGTGACGAGTGAAATTTCAGGGGGAATAATTTCACGCTCGTTTTGTCCAAATACTCATAATTATTTAATAGGATACGGACAAAACGCAATTAAAATTATTCCCTAATTTCACGAGTATACTATTTGATTACCTATTAATAATAAAGGTAATCATTGATTACGGATCCGCGTTCACGGAAACAAATTAGGTCGAAAGAGTCCAGTTTCCCGGCCGAGGTGCCGCTGAAAAACTTAAAGGGGGGGGGGGGCGGGGATTGCAGTCGCCCGTGATAGCTCGAAAATTTCTACCTTAGTGCCACAGCACACCAGATTAGGATGCGTTCTGACGAACGCGATCAAGAGTGACGAATTACGTTCGCAATCGTGAATTACGACATATTTATCCTGGTTTTATCGTATTTGGCAATTGAGAACTCCACGCTCTCAAAGGGTTAGAGCTTAAATTTAGCTTGAGTAGTTCAGAATTTTTCGACAAAATACCCGTTACCGAGAATCCTTCCTGATGGGCTCTTTCGTGTGTTTAGGTTTTCTAAAACGTCCTCTAATGCCCTGACATCCATTTCATAAAATTTTAAAACTTCGTCGCCATCTCGGCACTGAGACGTTCGGAAGATTGCCGTGGCAATCTTGTTATTTCACATGTGAAATTATAAATTAACTCTGAAGTTTTGCGCTAATTAAAATTATGAAGTAATTAGTCGCCAATGATATAACGTTGTTATTTCGCGCAAAAACTTGGGAGTAATCTGTCACCCTTGATATTATTTTGTTATCTCATTTAAGGGAACCGACGCAGTCTTGGCTCTTTGATTTGTGGTTAAGGAATCACAGTCGTCAAGAGTGGCCAGATTTGCCTGTCCGTCAGCCAGAAGATGCTTGGCACATCTTAGAGAAAGAACTTCATCCGCCCAAGGAAGAGATTGAGAATATGTGCTCAGAAGATTTCTTTGCTATACATAATTATTCCTATTATGATATTTTAGGTGACAGTAAATCTTTCATAGAGCTGACTCAAGTCGTAGAAAATCAGGCTGATGGGTATGAGAATATATATGGTACTCAAACAGAAGAAACTGACGAAGGAACTGGTGATCATGGAAAATCTTCCGAAGATAACAAGAAAGACTTCAAGAAGGAGGATTTGAATTTAAGTAAACTAGATTACACGCTCCTTGGTGCGCGTGAGACACAGCTATAAGGGATTTCTTCTCTTATTGCAGATGAAGGCTCTATGGGGCATTCCTAAACGTCCTAAACGGACATCGCAGGTATATCTGAATCTGAATTTTTTTCTTCACGGCAATAAACCAACCCTTCAAACAGGAAAAAAGGCAAAATAGACGTTGTAAATAACAGTAGAAGAATGCGTAAGAGAAGCACAGAGAAGAGAGGATAAGAGCACAGACATGGTTGAGTAAAAGTAGGGCAGAGCAGAAAAAAAAAAGAGAAATGCAGGAAAAGAGCGGTGCTAAACAAACAATTGAGAATCCGTTAGACAGTGTAAAACGCAGACTGCGGACCAGGGGTAAAATGCAGACTGTAGACTGAGAGCAAATCGCAGGCTCGTGCAAAATGCAGAATGAAGACTGTAGACTTTTTAACATTTGTGCTCCTTCTTCTCCAAATAGGTGAAATAGGTAGCTGGTACTCGCTTCCTAGTCGACGTACATTGCACATTCGCCAGAGTTTTCAATGAACATCCGAACAGCGTGAGTCTGCGTACCTCGATTTGCATGCTTTCATAGAGGGTCATCCAAATTTGCTACAGAACATCTTTCTTTGTAGTTTGAATTATTTAGTCCCTTTTGTATCGCCATAATTCTTTCTGTACAGTATTTTGGGCCAGCAGCTTTTATTTAAGAGTAAAGATTGTGGTGTTGTACCAATTCACGGTCAAGCGTGTATCAAAAACTTCGCGTCAAAATTAAAGTTAAACCGTGAGATCTCTCGGACGGAAAAAAAAAGGTTCAAGATTGCGATTACGTTTTTGGGTCGTCGACGACGTTCCAGAGAAGAAAGAAATGGATTTGTGAAAGCAGATGTTGTCAAGTAAGTGTTGGTTCATGTATTTGCGGGTTTTTTTGTCCTTACACTCCTCCACGACTACAGTTTATGCTCGGTTTGCTCGGTCTGCATTTTACCTCAGCCTGCGTTTTACTCTCAGTCCGCAGTCTGCAGTCTGCAGTCCACAGTCCGCAGTCTTTGTTTTACACTGACCGAATTGAGAATAAAAAGAATACAGTCTTTTACTGAGTCATGGATTGAGTAGAGGCGTATAGGGTAGAGTGGAGAAGGAAATAGAGGTTAATTTAGTCACGCATAGTATAGCACAAAATAAAAGATGATAAGGAAGAGCTCCACTTTTAGGCTTAGCAAAGAATTTAAAATTTAGTTTTTTTTTCTTTAAATTTGACGGCAGAAAGGAAGAAGAAAGAGGCGGCTTTTATGATATGCGAGGTGCGGTTGGCTGTCGGACTGTTGTTGTTTGATAATGTAAATAAAATATGAAGAAAACAACCATTTGTGGTTTTCTTTGATGCTTTCGTAGTTCGTAGCGGCGACAAAACAACAACAACTAAATTTGTGCACGGGGCGACTCAAATACACCTTCTGGCTGCAAATGCGATTCATCAAAGCGAGCATTCAGTTCTGTCTACTATCAACTAAGCAAACTATACACTAAGTGATCTGGTTAATGACTGTCTAACTGAAATGGTCAGGTAGTGGACAGACGAGCAGACAGAAGACCCACTGTTTCAACCAGATGCCAGAAAAGTGCACGAGGTGCAATAGCATACCAGTTAATGAAATTTCCCTTCTATTCTAAAAAAAAGCACGCCTGATCGTAGGTTACCCGTGAGACATTCATAGTTTTGCTGTCGTTCTTTCTTACGGCCACAGCCGAGTCTGCTACCCCCAGATAGTGGGAACGGTGAGAAGAAAATCACCAGAAAAGCGGGGAAAAGAGAAGGGAGTCCCTTACCCTCTCTCCCCAACATCCCTCCCTTTTTCCCTTCCTCCCTATCCCCTACCCCTTTCGACGCCTAGACAAAACGTTGCAGGAAACCATCACATTCACTTATTTACGGACAAAACGAAAATCGCTTATAATTATTCAGATCCAGGAGGCACTTTGGAGAAAATCAAACAACCTTAGAAACCCTTACTTAGCCGTAATGAAGAGCTTAACATTTCATAAGAGGTCAAAGAAAATGCTCTTGCATCAGAGGGTAAAACAGTGCCGACCGGCAAATAACCGCAGAAAATCAATACGCGTGTTACGACCTCTCATTACGAAATAAGCGGCAAAAATCATATCTGCTCAGTCAATTCCAGAGCAATTAATCTACCCACTAGAGAAAAAAATCATTGGAACAAACAGCATTTTGGCTCGAGATAAAAGTCGTATGTTACCTACCGACCCCCTTTTTACACTGTAATTTAGTTTAGTGGCAGGTTCATGTATAGTAAGATGAAACATAGTCGTTAGCCTACGTAATTAACGATTTTTGCTCAAGGTTTTGGTTGTAAACTTGAAATAAGCATTCTCCAAAAATGCCATGCCACACTAGAGTATCATTTTGAAGAACACAATCGGTTACACGCGGTGGACCGACTATAAAACCATCGTTATTGACAACCTTAACATCAGCTCTGTCTGCTAGCATTCCTACGTAAACATCGTCCATTCTGAACGTTGGTACAACATCAAATAATTCCACAAAAAGATGGACGACATCAGCGGACAAAACATATCCAAACCCAGGGCAGAAATCAGGATAGTTTGTTCGGTTATATTCTTCAAGCGTTACCCGCCATTTGCCACTTCTAATGACAGGAGGCTTTCTGTATAATCTTCCCATGTACAGCTTTCTTTGAGATGTACCTGTATCGTTTAAAAGAGATATCAGTCCCCAGGTTTCTACAAAAACATCATCGTCTATTTTTAAAAGAAACGAGAACTTGCAGTATCTGGTTGCCCATTCATAGCCCACTTGAATCTTTGGAGTAAGTTTCCAATAATGATCCAAGAAGCTAGCGCGTATAAGATCCCCGAAAGCTTCATCTTCTTTCAGTAATGAATCAGACTCGCTCGGGTTATGCGTTTGAGCAACGAGAAAAACAGTCTTCCATCGAGGCTTTAAGGCACTATCAAGGCCCCAAGTGTGGCGGATATCTCTTCTTCTTTGTGCATTTGCAGGCGCAGAACAAGTCAAAATGACAAGGAAGTAATGCTGTTCGCACTTTCTTGTCGTGATAAGAGATGTTTTATGTTTTTGTGATTTCTTCCTGGTTGTCACCTCTTTCACCAAATTTTGACTTGAAGTAGCAGGATTTCTTAAAGTTGCATACTTCATTTCTACGAACTGTGCTATGCCTGACTGACCAAACTGTAACCTAGCCGCTGGTTTCGAATTAAACCAGCGAACGGCGAGGAACCAGTCCAAAGCTCCTGCGACTAAAAAAGCCGCGAATAATATCAAGGCGATTTTTCTTAGAAAGCGAGTTTGGATTGCCATGATAACCCGTAGCTTATAAGCTGTTTCGTTTTCCTTTTCTTGTTTGCTATTTTGTTTATCCATACTGACAACACCTCAAAAAACCTGGAAACACTTTGAGCTTGTTCGGAATGTTGAACAAAAATTGATCTTAAAATGTTCTGATCTCAAAAGACAAACTTAAGGTTTTATAAGCGAAAAGCTAGCCGCGAATGCAGTCGTTTCTCATGCAACAGTACCACTGAAGACGTTTCGCGAGGGAGACGCCCCTTAGCGTGATGGGGGGGGGGGGGGGGGGGGGTGTTTAAAACCTTTTGAGGTTTGTTGAATTGTTGAACAAAATATGTTTTAAAAAGTTTCCAACTTAAAAAAGAAAATTAAAGTTTTAAAAAGAAAAAACTCCGCCCCAACTGAGGTCGTTTCCCTGGCAAAAGCCCCACTGAAGGGGTTCCGGGGGGGGCACCCCCCTTGGGGGGAGGGGGGGGGGGGGGTGGTTGTATTCTCAAGCTAATAAGCTAACTTGCTACGAATCAAAGCCAAAAAATTACATCTTGAAATAATTACTTTTAAAATACTTAAGGTATGGAAAAACCGGCAACAAAAAACGTGCAACTTGTTTTGCAACAATGCTTCAAAACGAGTTGAAGAGCGATGTTGCGCGTTTTACCACCCACATCAAACCTGTCTTGCACCAAATCAGGTTGTTAACAGGTTTGAACGTGTTTGGTAAAACGCGCAACATCAACTCGTTTTGCAGCAATGTTGCAAAACAAGTTGTACGCTTTTTGTTGCCCGTTTTTCTGTACCTTTCGAATTGACAGTCGTCAATTACACCTTTTAGCCATTTCGTCAAAAACAAAAGACTATTTTAGGGAGAAGTTTCATTGCTTGGTAACCAGTTGTTTTTTTTTTTAATCAAAAGACAACAGTTTTAGGAAGAAAAGAAATTCCGTCTCCTGAGACACTTTGTATGAATCAGAATAAAATTGACTTTTAGTGGCCTATTTTGGAAGGAATTTATTCAAAATCATAGATCTCGCTCATTCAAAAACAGCAAACAAACTTCAAACTTCACCGCAATGATTCCACCCAAAGTAGCGAACCCCTCGTCTCCAGGCTTCACTCCTACCCGTAGCAGGGAGAACCTGGGAACTGGAGTAGCGGAACTATGCAGTCCACCCGCTCGGCTCAGTACCAGTTAGATTTCTGGGTTTGCCACAAGGGGCCCAGACTCACACCACCGTGGAGGGACACTTAAACGGCTGTTTATGTGCATTTTAACCGTTTTATCGATATTACGATTAATTCCCATACAAATCCCCATAATATGGCTTCCGGCAGGCCATTGTGAGACTGGGCACCCTGTGGGTTTCAGAATGCCACCCGCTGGCAATTCTCGCTCGCAAATTGAGAGGAAAATAAATGCATTTTTCTTTAATTGCTATTCACCATTTTCTGTTAATATATGATTCCATGATCATCTTATTTTCTGAAAATCTCTAGCTGCCGGACCTTACGTACTATCTATCTTTTTAAGAGATTTGTGCAATTATTGCGTGATAATCAACAGATTGTCATCCGTTATTTGAATAGACTGTCCACAAGTGTACTGTGGTCGTGGGAAACGTAAACGTTTAAGCCGATTACGAAAACAAAAGCCTTGTTTTCCTTTTTTGTTGTCACCAATCAAAACGGATGGTTACATTTTGTCATATGTTTTTCTCTTGTCCCTGACAGTTCCCCTGAAAGAGCTACTTAAAAGTAAACTCATGGAAAATCGTTTCAAAACTGGAAATTTATGAAAATAGATGTATGCCATTGAAAGGAAGGATGATTTATTTTTAGACCGTTTAAGAGTGGGTGCTGAACCGACAAGAGCGCGCCTACAAAAACATGTCCTAGTTTTCGGCGAAAGGAAAACAAAATAATTTGCAACAATGTTAATACATATCAGAAAACTACTTAATAGTTATTTTCTGCTTTTCTGTCCCTGAAAACTGAAATATATGTTTTTTCTTATTGATATATATGGAGATTGAAAAAGGGCTGAAAGATAACTTAATTTTTAAAGGATCGCATAAACTTTTAGGACACCGCCGTAACAAAGACATCACTGAATCAGTGATGCTGTAATTAAATTATAAGGTCTATTAGTTATTGGTTCTTAAAAAGGCAAGACAAGTTTTTTATAACTCATTCTGACTATTTCAGCCACAGAAATTTAGAAAAATACCTTTTAATAGATTATTTTTATATTATTCTAGAAAGTATTGTTAATGGTAATGTCAGACTGGCTCTTTTGCTTACACAATGACCCTTAATTAGAAGCCTTTTTCCTTTGTGATTTAAGAGAAGAGGCGTACATTTGCATAGCAGGTTAAAATCTATTCATTGAGTCACACGGTCACTGTAAGTTACGGGGGTCAGTTTGAATTAAGAAGACCTCAGAACCTAAGACGCGGATTTGAGAACCTTCGAGACAGGCAAAACACGATATAAATCGGGGTAGGTAACTCTGGTCAGTTAGTTACTGTAGGTAGTAATGTTTCAATGTTGACTATTCACTGCACGGCAATTAAGCCCTTAGGCGAAATCTAACTGTACGACTGCTATGCGGAATCAACATTTCGAGTTAACTATCAATGTAACCGGCTTAAAGTTAACAGGCTTGCAAGCCGCCTCCTCCACTTTTCCTTACTTCAGAAGCTGATATGATTGAGCGGAGTTATCGTGCCGAAAACGGTTCAAAAGTTACTGTTTAAACGATCGGAGGTCACTGTGTAAATTTCGAAAGTTTTTTGACTTCATGATCGTCTACTTAAACTGTCTTAAAGCAGCAGGGAACCATTAAAAATCATAATCGACCAAAGTGAAAGGCAAAAAAGGAATGCTCCTTATATCAGGAACTTCTAAACCGTCAGTCGAGTTGCTATAGCAAATTTAGGTAGTTGAAAAAATGGATTGAGTGGAAAGCGGTTAAACCAAAAAATTATAATCGAACGAAGAAAGACTCCACGGCATGTAAATCAAATTGTTATCGGACTTTGATTAGGAAACAAAGAAACGAGATAATTTGCACTTGTTTACCACGACCGTTGAAGCAGAACTTCACGGATAATTCGAAAAATATATTAAAAAGCAAACTATGTTCGGGTTACACCTTACAAGGTACTAAATTTGCTTTAAGATTTTTCAGACGTTGTTTATAACTGTCTGTTTACTTACCGCGGGTGATTAATGGATCAAACAAGGCGTTTTTACAGCACACTGACCAAATAGTCGAAAATAGTGATTAGATTATCATTTTACATTTTAACGCACCACCTACCCCCAAAATGTTAAAATGTTAACCCTTTATACCTTACCCTGGGTGCCAGAGGTTTTTCTCGCGTGCGGCGGGAATTTTCGGTGTTGGCCGAAGGCGGACACATCTTCGGCCGTCGGCCGAAGCCACGAGCGGCGAAGCACTATAAAGACTTGACAGAAACCGGAAACCGCGCTACAAAAGTCTCTGGCACCCAGGGTATTTAAATCTTAACATCAAAATTCAAATTCTCATTTGTTACCCCTATGCGTTTTCAATAGAAGAAGTGGGGAGAATTTGTTGAAGTATCAATTAGATTCATCTTGTGTGATCATGTCCTTAATTCTCATGACCACCCTGTTTTAAAAAGCAGTGATATTACAAGGAGAAATTTGACGCTTATCACTGTCAGGGCTTAAAGGGTTAAAAGCTAACTTAGTTCATGGCGTTTTTAGCATTTTACATCCGTCAGAAGAGTCAATTTACTAGGATTTTGCTTTTCGTTTTTTGGTATATTTTCTAACTTATGCGCCTAGAGAAAACGCCTTTCTTCCTTCAAATAAGTGCAAGTCTTCCAGAGATTATCGATTAATGCTGTTTGTTAAGTAGAAAAGTGTTTTTTTTTAGTGTTTTCGGCATTTAGTCATGTTGAGATGTTGCAAACGTTTGTCGGAACATAGCGAATTTCGCAGGAATAATCCAGGCGGATTTTGGAGAATCTTAGTAATACTGAGAAAACTTAGTAAAACTTAGTAACACTAACTCTAACCCTAACCCTAACCCTAACTTAGTAATACTGAGAAAACTAAAAACGTTGTTTTTCGACCAAGTTTTTCTTGCCAAAGCAGTCTCAAAATTAGCCAATAAGAAAACTTGATCAAACATTGCTCAAGCTTTCTTCTTTTTTCACAACAGCAAACAAAAACTTTATTCGCACTTATTAATCCTAAATACAGTTGCCCTGCAAATTCGCAAAAAATCGCTGTTCGAGGCAGGGAAAAGAAATCGTATTGAAAATAATGAAAATGAGTCAACATAATAATGCAGAAGCTGATCTCTAGTTACAGATATATTTTAAAGCTTAAGATGAGATCATGGTATTGGTGGCAGACACGGGAAATAAACGAAATATGCAAATATTAAAACATTTTCATTTGCTAAACATTACAAAGTATTTGGGAGAACATCAATATACTAGCCTGTGTACAGACGTCCCCCTCCCTCAGAAGGAGGGGGAACGTCTGTACACAGGCTACAACATACTAGTCACCTGTTTTCTGAAGAATCTTCTTCAGGAACCGATATTTTCCCGTCCTGGTCACGTGCTCGTTCCGGCCCCTCTCCTTACTGTTTCTACTGATCTTCTCTCTCATTTATGGCTCTTGTGATTTATGGGCTTTTCACTCTAAAAATAATCGCTTTTTGGCCTCATTCGTCAACAATCGGGTCAAATGGCTGCAAGTTTGTATAGTACAAGCGAGGTTTTTAACAGCAAGTCCATTTTTATATAGACTGAAAATTAAAGGCAATGTGCCACTCTGAACTATACAAGAAAACTGCAAAAAGTCTTTTCAAATGAAAGTATTTTTTTCTTATGATCATTCAGGGGTGAAGATGAGGACTGCCAAAGCTGTAGTTTGCGACTGGTTTACCTTCATGTTGTCCATTCCACAAACCCAGCCAATGAGCGCCGCACAAAAATTTACCAAGTGGTCTTCATTGCTCGCCTATTGCGTTGGAGGTTTCAGTTTGCTTGTGTGTCCACAGTTGTGGAAATTCCTTCTCCAGCTGGAATTCCAGGGTCGCACTGAGGGGTACCTTCGAGTGATTGGACTCGGGGTGTTTATTATCGGCTTCATAATTGTCATCGCAGCGCGTTCTAACTTTCAAGACAATCACAACGTCACCATTTTAGGGTCCGTAATTTCAAGGCTTTTATACGTCAACGGGATCCTTATAATGCTCGTCCTAAGGAACATGTTACCGCTCTCATTTGCTCTGGTATTCATGGCCCTGGATACGCTGCTTCCTCTGATCACCCTAGTGATATGGTACCACGAGACTGAAGGAGCTTCGATGAGCCTTTTCTTCCGAGAAGTCTTCTCACCGATTTTGAAGTTCCGTGGTCTGACATCGGGAGGTCCCATTGCGGCAGTATTCTCTGTTGGAATTTTCCAGTTGCTTTTCTGGCTAATATTCGTCAGTAGGCCAGACATCGCTCAGGAAAAGCTTCAATTAGATCAGTTCCAGGCGCATTCCTCCGGCTACTTGGCAGCCGTGTTTTTTACATTGTCCGTCCATGGCTGGTATCACGTGACAAATGCTAGTTCTGCCAATCATCCATTTGTACCGGCAACCATATTTTACCGAGTTGCGTTAAGTGTACCAGTGCTCTTAATATTGCGTTTTGTTAACCAAATTGAACTCAATCTTTGCCTCACGTTGATAGGTTTTGATATCTGTTTATCAATTCTCATTTTAATATTGGTGACGTTCTCAAAAAGGAAAATTTCTAACGAGAGTGAGGAACGAACGCAACTTACTCACGAGGAAAAAGAATAAAGTTGTTACATATGTCATCCAACGGTCACCTCTAAGGTCCCGTTAGACTGCGAGCAGTCTCTCTTTTGCTGGAAAATCTGTAAGCGAAAGTATTTGAGCAGCGAAGTCGCGCGAGTTGCAAAGGCGCGAATACGAGTGCCCTCGCAACTCGCGCGACTTCGCTGCTCAAATACTCTCGCTTACAGATTTTCCAGCAAAAGAGAGACTACTCGCAGTCTAAAGTCCCGTTTACTTGGAGAAGGCTTGTCCCGGATTAAAGTGTCACTAGCCTACCCCACCTACCCGGGGCGAGCTAACTTTATTGGAGCAAGGATGACGCAGTGGTGAGAGTACTCACCTCCCACCAATGGGTTCGAGTCCTGGCGTCGACGCCATGTATGGTTTAAGTTTGATGTTGGTTCTCTCCTTTGCTCTTTGTTCCGGGAGGTTTTTCTCCGAGTACCCCATTTTTTCCCCTCTCCCCCAAAACCCAACATTTCCAAATTCCATATTCGATCAGGAATCATGTAGACAAAGGACCACTGAGTGGATGAGCTACCTCTAAATCGTTAATTTAAATTTTTCCACATTTCCTTACGAAAATTGGCGATTCGTTTAAAACGGTTTGCTCAGCTAGAATGGTAACCTACCTAGCCGTAGTCTGCTACACAGCTGCCATTTTTAGTGTTATCACGCAAAGCTATTTCGTAGGGAGGAGCGTTGCGTGACGACACTAAAAGACTATCATAGCCGGGGCATCCTTTTCCGATGTTATGGTCATCCTCCTGGCCAGAAAACGTTTCTCCACAGTGAAACTATTTGGCTAGCCCAGCCGGGTCAACTCAGAGCATGCGCGAGCACTGTTGTCAGCTCTCGGCTTGGGAGAAAGGGGGTAAATTTTTCCTCATACCAACGCTCGCTAAAGTTTTGACTCGGCCGGGAGAGCGACTTACTTTCTCGGGACAGTTTTTCTCCATATTAGCAGGGCCTTAATTAATATAACAGTGCCATTATGTTACTAGATCAACACAAAGATAAAGGAAACGTGAGGTTAACAGGTGTATATGCCATTTCAAATCGGGGAATTCTCCTTTAGTTATAAGTACCCTTGCGTTAAATAGTTTTAACAACAGAGGGTCCCCAATAGGGTTCTTCAATCCCGTAATCCCGAGGGTTATTTTTGGCTTCCCACTTCCCGAGCATGCTTTCAATCCCGAATCTCCGATTTTGCTTAATTATCCCGAATCCCGAGCCTCAAATTAGGGAAATCCCGGATCCCGAAAAACCTACTGGGGACCCTCACAACATGGGCTCCTGTTAAGCAAAGATTTCCTCTTGCGTAAATTTATTTTACTCAATATTTGCTTAGTTATTTGCCATACAAAAACGTAAAATACAGCTCATAATGCAAAACAGTAAAGACGAAGCAGAGGCAGAAATGAAATGAAAGAAAGAAACTTAATCAATGAACTTGGAAATAAATCATTCTAAGTTTAAATGATTTTTTCTGTTAATTGTAGACAATGTAGGCATTGACACGCCGTACCCTGATATTAACACTGTAGTATAAGGACAGAACTGAGAAATGAAAAATTAATTCATGGCTTTAGGATGATTATTTAAAAGCAACGAATGCAATAATGTACAGTGGCAGATTCAGGGGAGGGGCCGGGGGGGCCTGGGCCCCCCCCCTTATTTTTAGACCAAACTTAGGCCAAAAGGGCTGAAAAAAATTTTTTGGAGACTGGGCCCCCACTTCTCCACTGATGCACACAAGAACAACATGAACATAGAGAGGTGTAAGTTAAATTTACCTGTTAAAGGAGCTTGGGCATGTCAAGCATGTGTATCTTTGGAGCTGCAGTTTATTTTAAATTAATTTTCTGTACATGTAAATATAAAAGCTTAATTTATGGTATGATTATATTTTGTAGTGTAGTGGTTCCCACATACAGAAATAAATTGAGTTGCTGAGGTTATTTTATGACTTAGTAGTTACTGTTTGCGAGGTTTACAGGAACTGATGGTCAAATATGCTCTTTGATGAGATATGATGTACAATTTATACTTAACAGATAACAGTCTGTCAATCAAACAAAACTATACATAACAAATTAGAATTTTATACAAAGAATTAGAATTCGGACTTATTTTTATATCTGATGATTTTGCCCGCATCAGGATCATTTCTGTTTGCAAGCTCGAAAAGAAAGGATTATTGCATATATGTTTTCAGTATTGCTTTTTGTGATCTCCAGCTTAATTGTCCCTTTATTTTATATACAAGTCATACTATCATTGGCATTACAGCAACCAAATTGAAACACGTGACCGGCCCAAGACTAAAAAGATATTTTAGTCAACAAGACTTTCTCCGTCTCAGCCCCCTTTTTCTCGTTCTAACTTTTTTTTGCTCCCTCTCTTGCTCAATGTTCTCATAACTTTCGTCACTTTTAAAACTGCGGTGCGACATGTTGAACAAAACAGGAAAAACTTCACATCTCTGTGTGTATTTTAACTTATACATTACTAGCCTGCAAGCAAGCTCTCCGGCGCACTCTGGCGGCGGGGCAGGAGAAAGAAAGGAAAGATAGCAACTTCTCTGTATCGAAAAAGTCAATGCGAAATGCTGATTGGCAGAGATGACATTAATAATGACATCATTTCCCTCAGGACGTGGTTTTCCATGTTTCTTTACATTCGCGCTTGTTTCCGCTTCTTGCTGATAGGCGGAAACCTGACAGCTCAGTCGACAGGGAGCCAGAGGGGAATTGGAGATGGAATTCAAATTCCAGAGACGTAGTTGCATTCAGCCACAGCACCCTGGAGAGCTCATTCACAGGCTAATACATCACAGGAATGATTAATCATAGCCAGCATTGTATTCATTATTGTATAATGGGCGAGCGAGTGGGGTGGGGAGGGGGAGGAGTAGAAAACTGAAGCTATAAGAAAGAAACTTTTAAGGGGTTGTTCTCACAAATGGAGTCGAACCTATGAAAGGGAATCCAGGACAGTCATGGATTCTGGATTCCACTCTGTGGATTCCGGATTCCACGTACTGGATTCCAGTATTTATCAGTAGAACTTGGATTCTGGAATTTGAATTCCACTTCCAATTTCCCTGTGACTCCCTGTTGACTGAGCAGTCAGATTTCCACCAATCAACGCGAATGTTATCTCCGCGAATCAGCATTTCGCATCGACCTTCAATGCAGATAATGTATTCAAATTCCAGAGACGTAGTTGCAAGCTCTCCTTCCTTTTCTCCCCCCTCCCCCTGCCAGAGCGCCCCGCAGAGCTTGCCCGTGGGCTAAGTGAACTACTCCAAAACGTAAATTTGGCAATATTTTATTGGCTCTTTATTCTTACACCTGTTGACTATAGTGGTTAAGAAAAAGCATTTTCTAAAGTTCTTCTGCAGATGGTAACTATAATATAGGACAAATTTTGGCTATTTAGGTTCAATGTAGGTTCTTATTTCCTAAAGAAGGAAACAACATTGTTTCTAATAGACTTTGGTGTTTAGCGTATTCCTTAAATGAATGAAAATGGGGGTAGGGTGTACCCCTACGGCCTTCCAATCCTGACTCTGATAGAGACAAAAACCGTTCATTTTGTTCCCCTTTCCCAAGGGTACACATTGTATATTTTACATGCTTTAGAAAAAAAAAACACGTTTCTGAAACTAATTAATAACTGTTAGTATGGCGAATTTTTCTCTTAAGGCTCTTACTGGTAAATAGTCATTCATTCACCCCCCCAAGGGGGGGTACTTGGGTTAATTTTTGCTGGGTGTGTGCTGCTGGCCTCCCCATTATAGTCTATTCTGTGACCAAATATAGAACCCAACTTGGTCACTTTTGGGAAAATATAATTTTCACGTTCCCAACTTAGTAACTTCCTATTTATGCGTCTACCTTATAAAGCCTTTTAAATAAGTCATCCTGAAATGAATTGACATAATGGGTTAACCTAAATGAAGTAAAAATCTTTCCATTTTTTAAATCCCTACCTACCTGAATTCCCTGATCCCCCAAATCCCCAGAATGTGCCCTCCCATTCTAGCAACTCTAATGAAAATGCAACCCCATAATAGTCAATCCAGTCCTGAAAGTGCAACCCCATCCAGCAGCACATCCCCATTAGCCCATTACTAGGAAGTACAGTACCCTCCCCCCTCCCACTAGGTTCGTTCATTCAGTCATTCATTTTGCCATAAACCACATAAAAATACATTGACAATACACAAGAAATTTAGAATAAAGTAAAGACAATAGACACTATTATAAATAAATTATTTTACAAAATAATGTTTAAAGTGGTAATATTGACAAGAAAGCCCATATAGAAGCCAGGAGCTTTATGATCTATTTGCTTCATATAGGTCTATTGTCCCCATCTTTATGATCTATTTGCTGCAATATAGGTTCTTACTGGTGTGTTGTTAATGTACATGTTGTAGTTCCTTTTTTAACTCAGGTAATTTTTATTTTTTCTTTGTTTCAACTTCATTAGCATACATCAACATACCCAAAAACAAAAGAAAAACAAAAACTACCTGAGAAAAAAATTTAACTACAACCATGTACTTATTAAATTAATAAAATTGCTTTTCAGGGGCCACCAATTTGGATGCCATTAAAAATATTTCTCATTAGTATTTACCAAATCAGTGAAAAGCAATTTTCGCACTTTCTGGTTGGCACCGTAACTTGGAATAATATTCTTGACATGAGCCAAGATGGTTTCTCATTTTGAAACATTTTTTGGAAGACAAAATTTGAGTGATAAATGAAGCAGTCACACAAACAAATACCAACAAAGCGACAAACTTTGGCTTGTGGGTGTTTACTGGTAGGTATAAAAGAAAATTATTTTCATGCTGAATTTGCAAGAAAATTGTAAACATGCACTAAACAAAATCCCCGAAATGCTTGTACATTGTAAACAAAGTTCCTACTAAGGGATGTTTTTAATTTACCAAAAGTTACTTTTTTTACTTTTATCCAACTGATTTG